GGCGACGGGAAAAAATGAAAGGACGAAGTAAAAAAAAAGCAAAAACAAAGTAAAAAAAGGGAAAAAAATTCCAAGGAATGTCTCCCTCCCTCACCTCCAGGACGTTGGGGATGATGTCCCGCTCACACTGCTTCAGGAAACGATCCTTGTCAAAGGAGGGATCCACTTTGAGGATCTCCGTCAACACCTCCGACATCTCCGTCTTGGAGAACAATCCACCTGGGAAAACAAGGCAGTGGCACAAAACCAGCCCCTGGGGGGGTAAAACAAGGCAGGACCAGAGGGAGGAACAACTCCAGGCTTTAATTAAACCTGAGATTTATCCCAGAGATTTATCCCAGGCTTAACTTGTCATCTCAGAGCCCTTCTGATCCCTGAGCGATCCTGGAGAATGATCCAGGCAAAATGTGTGGAAAATGCTGGAAAGCTCCCAGAATTTGTCCCAAAAGGTGGGAAACAGCACAAGGAGGAGCAGGGGGAGTTCAGGGAGGAGCTGTTACCTATCAAGTCGGTGACTTTGTCGGTGACGGCGCGGGACGCTCGGATGAAGGCGTTGTCGCTCTCGTCGTACTTCATCTTCATCTCAAAGAACCCTGCCAGGAGAGCAGAGAGGGCTCAGAGCCCCTCCTGATCCAGGAAAACTGCCAGGGGTTGGGAATCAGAGCTCCCAGTTCCCTCCTCAATCTCCTGGATCACAACAGGCACCGACCACGAGGGACCTTTCCCATCGTCCTCCTTCTCAGCTCCCAAGAATTGGTTCTCAATTCCCAAGAATTGGTTCTCAACTCCCAAAAACTGGTTCTCAACTCCCAAGAACTGGTTCTTAACTCCCAAAAACTGGTTCTTAACTCCCAAAAACTGGTTCTCAACTCCCAAAACCTGGTTCTCACCTCCCAAGAACTGGTTCTCAACGCCCAAAAACTGGTTCTCAATTCTCAAAACCTGGTTCTCAACCCCCAAAAACTGGTTCCCAACTCCCAAAAACTGGTTCTCAGCTCCCAAGAATTGGTTCTCAACTCCCAAAAACTGGTTCTCAACTCCCAAAAACTGGTTCTCAGCTCCCAAGAATTGGTTCTCCTGCTTCAGCTGCCACAAACTTTGGGAGCTTCTGGAAGATTTGCAGGCAGAAAACACACCAGAAAACTGCCCTACACCAGGAACAGTCTGATTAAATCAGGAACAGTCTGATTAAATCAAGAATAGTCTGATGACACCAGGAACAGTCTGATTAAATCAGGAGTGATCTGATTACACCAGGAATAATCTGATTACACCAGGAACAGTCTGAGAACACCAGGAACAGTCTCACCCCTCGATTCAGTGCCCTGCAAGGGGCAGGAGATGTGAAAATCACCCCAGAAAGTTTCACCAGGGGAGGAAAATGATAGAATAGACCTTAAACTTGGTCAAATTTATAATAAAACAGCCCCACATCAGTGAGGGTGCAGTTTTTAAGCAGCTCCAAGTGCTCCTCAACCTCGCTGAGGGAGGAAGCCAAGTGTGTCCTGGCTCCAGAAGGGAAAACTCTGCAGAGGAAAAATCCCAAGGGCAGAAAAGGCAGGGGGGGACCTAAAAAAAACCCAGATATTGAAGTAAACAGGGCATTGCTGCAGCAAATCAGGGCTCTGGGCACCATCAGAGGGATCAGACCCACAGAAGGGATAACAGGCCCTGCAGGGAAGTTCTTTGGTTAAAAATGGGAATTATTCCCTGGAGGATTCTCCTGCCAGGAACACGGAGTGTTCTCAGAGTGAGACATCCAGGTGGTACCTGAAGGCAGAGCCTGGGGCAGCTGCAGCTCAGCCTGGACTCAAAACCAGCCTTGGAAAAATGTCTGAAGTCTAAAAAAAACCCCCCCAAGCTCGGGCAGATGGCTCAGGGCTGGAGGGGGGAGAGTTTGAGGAGCACCTCTCCTTGGAAAGCCTAAAAAGTGGGATGTAAAACCCACTCCTGGACACTTCCCAAGGAGCTCTGCTTTAAAAGCTGGGAAGAAACAGGATGTGAAGTTAATTATGTTGTACTTTCACACGATCATTTGGTTCCTGAACAAATCTTTTCCCCCCTCCAGCTCTGCCAGGGAGGGGTTTGATTTGTTGAAGGGTTCTGGTTTTAGGGCTTTTTCTGCCTCTCAGAAACATGAAATCCCTAAATAAACTACCCAAAGATATTCACAATTTGTAAGGTTTTGCAATAAAAACGGGAAGGAGGCAACGTCCCAGATATTCCAGAGATCTGGGCAGGGGCCAACAGAAACCAGATTTTAGGATCAGGGAATTCCAGAGTGGTTTGGATTGGAAAGACCTTAAAGATCATCTCATTCCAAACCTTGCCATGGGCAGGGACACCTCCCACTATCCCAGAGTGCTCCAACCTGGCCTTGGACACTCCCAGGGATGGGGCAGCCACAGTTTCTCTGGGAATTCTATCCCAGCCTCTCCTCACCCTGTTGATTTATAAGGATTTTCCTCAGCTCCAGGCCAGGAGGAGCAGACCTGGTGCCCTCTCCTGCCCTCTCCCTGCTGCTAGAAGTGCCCTTCCAGCCTCTTCCCAGAGCCACCACAAGGCTGGTGAGGGAAAAAGGGGGACAAAGAAGAGCTCAAAGAGTTCTTTTGGAAAACAGGTTTTGGTGCCTGCAGGGACTGATCCAGCAGGAGGGGCTGGAACACAGATGGAGCAGCTTGGAAAAGCTGCAGAGCTGTCAACTCTTCCTCCCCCCTTCCCATTCACACCACTCCCAGCACCAGCTCCAACCCCTTCCACAGGAAGGCTGGGAATTTGGGATTGGCACAGATGGAATGAGACCCCCACCAGCAGGAATCAGGGCTGGGAAAAAGAAGGAAGCTCCTGCTTTGCCTCTCGAACACTCACTGTTGAAAACCACGTTGTTGTCCTTGAAATCTTTCCACTGCTGGTACCACTTGGAGTCTTTGTGCAGCACCATTCCCATGGCCTCCCTGGAAAGGGCAGGAAACAGGGATAAAACATGGAGACAGGGGAGAAAATCAACTTACAACAGTGGGAGAACAAAGAGGAGGAACATCCCTGCAGCCCTGAGGCTGATGCAGAACAGAAGTGAGGAGACACATCAGTGATAAGCCCATAAATTATACACCAGATAAATTAGAACCCCATAAATTAATTATAATCAGAATTACTTAGAATTATAATTCTAAGTAAATTAGAACCCCATTAATTAATCAGACACCTCATAATTGGTACAGCAGGGAAATAACACACCACATAAATAATAATTGACTGAGAGGGCTGAGGCAGCAGGGAAAGCAAAGGAGCTCAGGCTCAGTCCTAATTCCAAGCCTAAATCCACGTGAAGATGTTAAAACTGACAACAAAACACGTGCCCAAGTCAAAATTTGATCTTTGGCCATTAAATTTATAAGTTTCAAGTGCCCACTTTCACTCTGGGAAGACTCAGGATCATCAGCTCCCGCTGGGAATGTGCTCCAGGAGCTCCCTGTTCACCCCCCAAAGCCTCATCCAGCTCCTGGCTTTTAATCCCTGCCCTGTAGTTCAGTTTGGAAGGTTTTTGTTCAATTAGACACAGAAATATCCCCCCCAGATGAGCCCAACACCTACTCATTAGCCTCAAATATCCTCTCCTCTTTGATCCTCTCTCCGGAATATTCCGTTCGTTTCCGGAGCCGCTCCGGGCGTTTGTAGGGCCCAGTTTGCCCCAAAACACTTTCATCGATTTCCTTCTTAACACTTTCTACTCCCTGGAAGGAAAAGAATCCCTGTTAAATTCCATTTATTGGCCCCCCCTCACCCTTCCCAAAAAGTGCCCCTGGAGCCTTCCCTTCTCCAGCCTGGCCTTGGACACTTCCAGGGATGAGGCAGCCACAGTTTCTCTGGGAATTCCATCCCCACCCTCACAGCCAGAAATTCCTTCCCAATATCCCAATTAAATTCCCCTCTTTCACTTGGAAGCCATTCCCTGTCTCCTGTCCCTCTATCCCTTATCCCAAGTCCCTCTCCAGCTCTCCTGGAGCCCCTTTAGGCCCTGGAAGGGGTTTAAGGAATCCTTGGAACCTTCTCCAACCTGGCCTTGGACACTCCCAGGGATGGGGCAGCCACAGCTTCTCTGGGAATTCCATCTCAGCCTCTCCCCACCCTCCCAGCCAGGAATTCCTTCCCAATATCCCATCTATCCCTGCCCTCTGGCAGTGGGAAGCCATTCCCTGTGTCCTGTCCCTTCATTCCTCGTCCCAAATCCCTCTCCAGCTCTCCTGGAGCCCCTTCAGGCCCTGGAAGGGGCTCCAAGGTCTCCCTGGAGCCTTCCCTTCTC